TCAAGCCTAAGAGTCTTTTCCCAACTAGTGTAGGGAATCTGATCCAAGATAGGGATACCAAGCAAATCAGAGAACTCTTCCAGGGTAGGGACCAGCTGGAAGTCTTGAAAGGTGAAGCACTGGTACAGAGGGTCATAGAACTGGGTCAGGACACTTATCAGCTATTGGTCCCACTTTGCCGTGACTAAACTGAGAAGAGAACCATGCCTCTGGATGAAGGAAGTAGTATTTGGAATTCTGCTAACCAACTCTTCAAGCAATTCAGGTGGGTGAACAAAGTTGAACCGGATAGTATTCCTTCGCATAGGCATCATGATGTCCTACAAAACAGAGCAAAGGTGAAACCCTCTTGTCTTTGAAATGGTCAGTCCTTATGCAGGATGCATGCAATGTTTATGATGGCATGATGTTATGATAAAGCACACCACAAATATTCACAAAGGCAAACATGATAAGGCACACACGTCACACAAGACAGCCCTTAGAGTTTAGGCCAGCATGGGGTCTAGGTATTACCCTCTTTCAGTTTGTTGGTTCAGACCTGTCCTATCAGAAGTAACCGGGTTCTAGAGGATCCCAATATCAGTGACTACCCTCAATAGGTCATAACCCCAGCATCGCAATCTTTTCTTGCAGCCAGAACCATCACGAGAGTTTAGCCTCAATGGGCGTAGCATACTGCTACTGTTCTATTGGCCAAGTTGGGTCATTTAAGGTTCTACGGTCGGTTGGTGCTTAATGACTCCTCAGAAGACCCATATTCTCCTCGTTGCGACACAAGGGATATCGGTACAGACCAAGGTGCCACACCAACGTAGCCACTGCTTCACCCATGTCGGTCTACGCCGGACAGGTCCCTCACAGCTTATGCTACCTAACAGGGTATCCCCAGATCCGGGTTAGGATCTATGTAACTCTGATGCAGCCCACAATAATAAATCAAACAAGTCAAAGCAATTGAAAACACAAGTGATCTTAGTCTTAAGGTACACCTCACTTTATAAGAGTTCCCCAGCAGAGTCGCCAGTTCTGTGATCGGTGGATCTGGAACTGACTTTTTAACGCTGGTTCGCAAAATGTCGCGGTAAGCAAGAGTCTCCACCGTCTTTTATTTTCTCCAACATGGACAGGACAAAAGCACAGCAAAATTCCTTATGAGAGTGGTTCTCGGTTCGGGAGGTAGATTTATAGAAAGGGAAGGTGTTAGCACCCTTTCTATCCATGGTTATCCATGGGCTCTTAGATACTTGCTCATTTGTGTTTTCAAAAGTGTTTGCTTTTCATTTGTGAGTGGGTTTGAAAAAGTTTCGTTTAAAGTTTCAGATCGACTCTTGTATCAGTCCTCAAGAGTATTTGAAAAATTGTTTTGAAAGCTTTTTTGAAAGTGTCGGTATGAAAAATGTTTTTGATTTGTTTTTTTGAAATAGAGCAAGTATCTACGAGTCATCTACCTACCCTAAGGAATTAGGCTGTGTAAATGTCCTTAAGGTAGTGCCATCCCACCATTGAGAGATAGGTAGCACCACCGTTGGAGGTGTTCGGGTCAATTCGATTGAGGGACAGTGTGGTCACCAGAGCAACAGTAGGACACCTTAGAAGCTACCCTTATGCCATGTTCATGGACATAAGGACTTACTAAAACGTCATATACTCGACGACCACGTTTCGAGGGGCAAGGCAGCAGTGAGGCGTACCCTAAGAGTGGTGTGTGAATTTGTGTATCGTTTTCAGTTATATTTTATCTTGTCATGCTTTTGGTGATCTACGCTTTGATTTTATTTGGGCCATTCATTCTTTCATGCAAAGTTTAGCAGTTTTAAGGGTGCGGAAATTAAAGTGCGGAAATTAAAGTCCTACGCTATTACAAGGCGCGGGTCTATACATCGCCAAATTAACAAAGACCCGTTTTTTAATAAAATGCAGAAAGTAAATAAATTTCCTAATTACTATTACAAGGCTTGAGCAATTACATTATATTTAAAACGAAAAATAAGAACAAACGCGCGAAAGGAAATTAGAATCGAATATGCGAGGGCGTTGGACCCTTTTGAGAAATTAAATGAAATTAAAAAGGCTAATTAATTATTTAATAAGAAAAGGAATGTTTTTTATGGTTTTTGGTATTTATGAAATAAAGAAAATTAATTAAAATTAGAAATTAAATGAAACCCTAGTTCTAAATTATTTTAAATTGTTAAAGAAATGTTTAAGTTTAACCTAATTTACCCTAATTAATTAATTACATGTTTATTTACAAAAATAATTAATAATTAATAATAATAAGAGGAATAAATTATTTATTAAGAAAAAAAGAATAAAAATGCTAAAAAACTAATTTCTACATATTTTAGTTATTAAGAAAAACATTTAAATTTAAACCTAAATTACTAAATTGATTATTAAAAATTTATTTACAAAAATATTAATGAACTAAATATTAAATAAACATATTTTTTTAGTTTTGATTTTTCTGGTTTTTATTTTATTAAAATTAATTTGTGAATTGAAAGAAAACAATTAATTAAAAAAAATAATTAAAAGAATAAAAGGAAAAATAAATAAAGATTGAAAATTTGACAAACCATGGGGGGTATTTGTAGCGGTGAAAATCGGAGATCAAGCTATTAATTAACTTGACTCACAAAAGCAAGAGTCGCCACCGCGCTTTATTATTTCCAAGGGAAAAGGGAAAAGAGCGAAATAAAACCCTAAAAAAACATGCAATGTAAAATAAAAAGTAATACAATGCGTTTTTGAAAAGAGATTGAGAGTTTGGGGGTTGGTTATGCAATGGGAAGGTATTAGCACCCAATGCATCTGCGGTACTCCGCAGGAACCTTTTGAAATATCTGTTTTTGGTTAAAATTGTTTGTTTGATTAAAATGGTTCGTTTGGCTAAAAATAGGTGTTAGCGAGATTTTGAGGATGTGATAACCTAATGTCGAAGTTTTGACTTAAAAATGGGTGTGAGTTTAAAAATTGATTTGCAAGAGATTCGTCTTAAGATTAATAAAACTAAAAAAAAACTATGGAGGAATTTCACATAATCGTATTAGATACTCGATGACATGAAGTCAACAAATTAATTCTTTCCCTTGGATTTAAAACCACAGACAGATAAATAAGCTAAGAGTATATCAAACCTCAGGTGAAAATAAATCACAAGCCGGCAGCATCAAAAAAAACCAGATGTAAGATAATACTCCAAGCATCAGATAAAGCGCATCAAGTGAAAATAAATCACATACGAGAAAAGCGTGTCAGGAGTGGAATCAGATAAAGCACAAAGGTGATGGATAAAGCTCACGATATCGGATAAGAATCCCTGCATCACAAGAGATATACCAACAAATCTAACAACACGGGAAACTTATGTGCGTCCGCACAATTTTCAGAAGTTAGTTGGAATTGGAAATAAAATCACAATGCGATGAAAATAATATTTTCAAAACCTGAATTTATTTACAAGTAAAATGTACAGTCAAAATATTATGTACAAGTATATATTTACAGTACCAAATATTAAATCAGAATAGTAAAATAAAATAAAAAGGTAAAAGGGAGAAGTGTAAGAGTTATTGATGCGCTATGTGAGAATGGATACTTGAAACGATTTTCGAAAGCCTTCACAGTAAGCAAACTCGTTATTAGCATAAGCGGTATAAAAATTAAAATGAATGAAATCGCAACAATTAAAAACTTTGTTAGAAATCACAAAATAAAGAAATGAAATGAAATTGTATGAATGCACATGAATATTTACACAAATAAAAATCAAGAATTCATGACATTATTCCATGTAAACACAAAAATCAACATTGTACACATTATTTCAAATGTATCAAAAGCAACCGCTATTTCAAACACAACGGAAAACAAAAAATCAAAAGTTCACTTTGCAAAAATGAGAAATTAAATTCAAAGCATGAACCAAACAAATGATGATTATCCAAGAATTTCAATTCATAAACAAAGCCAAAGAAACTCATGCTATAATTCAATTCAATCCATGAAAAACCAAACATTATTCATGCAAATCAAAAGTTGGACAGCAACTAAAAACTTCATGGATTTAAAGTCTTAAAACAAATTCAAATGTTCATTCCATTTATGAATATTCAAAAACCAATTAGCATCTATTCATGTTCTACTCAAAACATGTTCAAAACATGGGGAAAAAATTGAATTGAGCTATAATCGATCAAATTAAAAAAAACAGGCAGCAACAGTGCATTATTATTATGTCTCAAAATTCCAATTCAAACAAGGTTTGTAACAAAAGGAAATGGCAAGCTATCTTCAATAGCTTCTCGGTCGGATTTACACGCAAATAAAATGCGGCATTATCGTCACCTTCATCGAAACTAAAAATTCGAATATCTTTCATTCATAATTTCAATTGATTTTATCACTTGAAAACACACCTCCAGCATCTCTTCCAAAAAACCTGATTTTCCCAACAAGATATACCATCTTATTTTATGCCCTCGGGGGCACATAAAATGGTCGAAGCAAATGTCCATCACACAGCCACGTGGCTTCCAGAAAAATCAGTTCTAAGGCCAGCCAGATTATATAATGTAATGTACCTTAACATAACAGACTCAAAAGGCCAAAGTGCCAAAGCAATATGTAACATTTTTTCAAAGCATACATAAGTTCTGATTTTCCACAGTAGTGCGAGTTTGCTTCGTAGTGCATAGGAGATAAGTGTATTACCGATTTTGTGAAGGCATTCTATCTGATCCATGCCTTAAACGAAAGTTGCTTGACCTCGTACTTGGGTCTGACCGGTTCACATTTTGGTGGTACGGTCTCCAGCTTGAATCTCTATCCACTTGACTCAACGACAATGAAGGCAAGTGGTCTCTTTCCCAAGCGTGGAAGCGACTTGGTAGATGGTTTTATTCTTGGTAATTACGTCCTGATGAAGTTGATGGGATAAGGAAGAAACCACCACTTTGGTCAGGTGATGTGGCAGATGAAAGGTTGAGTCGCGGATGGGTGGTTTTTATGGAAATGAGGGAGGGCGTATTGTTGGGTAACAGTGGCTGAGGTGAGATGAAGATGAAGTAAATGGCGAGCGAATGAAGGTTGCTGTTGTGGTTTGGTGAGTGTGGATTGTAGGTGGGTTCAAGCGGAGAAGGTGGGAATTGATGGAGAGGGTTGCAGTGAAGATGAAAGGTGGTGGCTCGGTGATGATTTGATTGAATCGGTGACGGAAGTTCGCCGGGGATCTGCTTGGTTATTGTTTGACGAAATTGAAGAGAAGAAATTGGAGAAAACAAGGTGATTATGTTGCGCGTTGAAAAGGAAACAAAGGCGGAGGTGAGATTGAGTGGAAACTGGGATATGATGTTGCCGGTGGAATGGGTTGTTGTTGTTCTGGTTTGGGAATGGAGAAGGTTGAGGGAGATGGGTTACGGTGAGGATGCAGAGAAGAGGAAGAAGGCAGAAGGTTGAAGTTAGTAGCTAGATAGTTGGTAATACGGAAACGAAAATTAGGCGAAGTAGGAGAGCAGTTGGGGGTTATTATGAAGCGAGTGAATTGAAGGGTACATTTTGCTACTATGCACATAGAGGAATAGAGAGAGGATGAGTTCGTGAAGTATGCTGGGTTAAATTCACTGGAGAGAGAGGAAGTAATTGAAGGGTGTATGCTGTTTTGGGAAGAGAGGAATAGAAAGTTAGAGAGAGTAGATGGGATACTGTTTGCTTTTGTGTTGTTGTGAATTGTTTTTTGTTTTTTTTGTCCCCCCCCCCCCCCCCCCATACAAAGAAAATTAAAAGGTCTTATATAGACAAGTGAAGAAGAAAAAAATTAATTTTAAATTCAATCATGATCCGTTGATTTCCATTTTCTCTGTATCAATCCACCACTTTTGCTAACAGCCAATGAGAGCATAGTATAGTGTAATCAATATATTTTTGTGACAAAAACGCCCTTAAATGATAAAAATGAAATAAAAAACTGAAAGTATTAAAATTAATTCAATTTAAAATATATTTTTTGAATAAAAAATAAAGAGCTAAAATGACCGAAAACAATAAAAAACGGACGAAAATTTATCCGAAAAAATAAAATGAACACATTAAAATAAACTACATGTCACAAAGATTAAAGAAAAAATATTCAAAAAAGTAAAAATAGGAATAAAATGATAATGAAAATACCAGGCTAAACAGACGTTTTACGGTTAAAAACGAGACTTCAAATTGTATCGAAAAAATAAAGCGAGCATACCGTCATAATCTATGCGAGATGCAGATTCATAAAATGATCGGTAAAAAGGTGAAAACTTGAAATATTTTTCTCGCTAATTTTTCGCACATTGTTGAATCGCTTTTAACAGTTTGTCTATAAAACCAAAATATTTTTATTATCGACATATAAACAACTTGGAGCAATGCAAGAAACGAGTAAAGAGATAAAAATGCATGAAGTGAAATGTCAGGTATTTTTTTAACTAAAAGACGATGCAAACTTTGATTTAAACTGACTTTTCTGGTCAACTTAAATACGACTAATGATGCAAAATATGATGAATGAAGATATTTACTAATGATTGTGACCAAATGACAAAATATGGTATGAATGTGCGACTGAAAAAATTAGGGGCGAAATTAAGGGTGCAACGGTGTGCCTTGATGAATCAGTCTTCGAGAATCCACAATCAACCGTACTTCTGGCTTGGGAGACTCAAAACCTTAATTGAGGCGCGACACCTGATGCTCTTGATTCAGACCTGTCTCTGCACATGAAACAAAAGAAAACATGAACATACACCTTTGTATGCGATTAGAAATTAGTGATACATAGGCTAAAAATGTTCAAAACACTTGACAATCTTCACATAGTCAAAGCTCGAGGGTGAGAGGTTAAAACCGACTGTATTTTGTGACCTTGACTTATGTTTAAAAATGCAAAAATAAAAATGGGATCTTAGGTCAAAAATTGGGGTATGACAGTATTCAGACCCCTTTGGAGGTTGATTGTGAGTAATCTGGCCCATTGAATCAGGCCCTTTTGACTTTCCAGTGTTGGCGTGCAGAGTGGTTGACTAATGTGCATGGTGGAATTCATGTGCTGGCCATCAGATTGAGGCCCTGGGACACTTGGCAGGCTTGGATATAGGGTTGCATGATGGACCTTGGAAGAGACGCTACACAGAAGCACGTTATGGACAAAATTATGAAATATAATAGGGGACCTGGGAATCGAACCTAGGTCCCAGCGTTTACCAAATGCACGTCCAACCATCTGAGCTATGCGCGCGTGTTGTATGTGGAATGGACAAAGAACATAATATATGAAAACAAAGGTGATCACGCTGAAACAACAAAAATGCGCTAAATTTTTGAATGGTCCAATCACGTTCATACACGCTAGCCTTCTTCTTCCTTTTGCACATGTAACATAATTAAATAGCGGGGGTTTTAAACCCCCACTAACTGCAATGTATGAAAATAACGATTAGCACATGGTTAATTATAAAAAGGGCGCGAGGTGGTCAAATGATTTGTCTGGATGTCCTGATTTCAATGGTACTGGTTTGATTGGCCAATTTTTCCTTATGTGTGAAACCCCAAATCTGGAGCTCTGAAACCCTAGCGAATGTCAATGGCAACTTTTGATACAGGCAATATTAATTCAATTAAAGGACACCAATAGCTTCAGAAAGTTCATGTTAGTATAAATCAGCCATTAAAAATCATAAATCATGCATGGAATGTGAAACACGATTATGAAAATTTTGATGAAAAGTAAGACTCTGTTATACCAATTCCTTGAGTATGGAAGGCTGGTTTCGATTGGAATAGTTTCCTGGTGGTATCAGCAAGCTTTTGGAATACTTTTGCAGCCTTGAATTGTCCTCTAGATACCAAAACAGTTTTCAACTTTTTTGTCAAAAAATGCAATCTTGTTCTTGTGTTCTGAGCGCAGCTTTTGTGTCTATTTTTATTAGGTTAACTTGTGGTCATGTATTTGAATAGAATCAGGTAAAAAATCCAGCCCAAAATCCATCCATTTATGACTTTGAATATTTGATTTTTCATATCTTTTTTCAAATCTTTTTGCCATGGAAACTTGCCTATTTGGAAGATTTTGTCTCTTGAGATTGGTACACGAGATATTGAGCATATAATGAGTGAAATCTCTGCACAAAAAGATTTGAAAGGTGTCATTTGCTATTTTTTTCATATTTAATTTTAATTAAGTGAATTAATAATAATAAAAATTCAAATAATTAATCAAAAATGAGAAAATAACTCCCTTAGAGGTCAATGGGTCGTGCATGGCCTTTGGGTAATGATTCATGGAAGAAATTGAGGCCCATTAGCAATTTTGAGGCATTTGAAGCAAAGTTGACTTTTCAAAATTCCCAAAAATTTCCCAACTTCCACAAGGCATATCTTGCTCACTTTTTAAGCTTTGATCATGTTCTTGGACATTTTGGAAAGGTCTTGAAGTCCTATAACCAATGCCTTTGGTCCCATGCCATTTTGATTTACCAATCTCAAGTTATGGTCTTTGACTTAAAGTGTCTTTTTGTTGACTTTTGAAAATGACCTATAATGTTGAGATTGATAACTTTTTGTGAGAGCATTTCTTGGACTTGAAGTGTGAAGATGAGTTGTAGGAAATGTCATTCTCTTCAAAATGAGCTTTGGATGGAATTTTTCTGATAAACCATGTGGAAGTTATGCCCTGGTCAATTTGCAGTTGACTTTTTCAGCTGTCCAAAAATAGAAACTTTTGCATCTTGAGACTTTTTGAGTTATGCCTTGAGAATCATGATCAAGAATTGATCAAATGATGTTTGTGGCTTAAAAATAAGATGTTGACCAAAAAATTTGACTTTTGACTGTCAAATGACCATTTTGCCCCTGCAGTTGACTGTGAAGCAATTAGGGTTTTTGACTGTGCAATCTGGTGCTGTGAGTCTTGAAATTTGGCATATGGATGCTTGACAATGTAGGTAGGCATGTGGGACTTGATTGGACCCTTGGAAACTTCAATTTCTTTGCCAGAACCAAAACCCTAATTTTTGACTGTTAGGAGGCAATTGAACTGTGCAACCTTTGAGTGATTTTGAAGTTTGATCTTGACAAATCTTGAAGAATATGGGAGGGCAAATTTTGGGGTACAACAACCATTATCTTTTCTGCTTCATTATTATCCACACATATCATTAAGGTTGAATCATGGTTACGCTTGTAAAGAATGCCATTGCTGATGAAGAACTTTGCTGCGAACCTTCTCAGAAACTTCTTGTCATTAACAGATGCACCCTCGGGGTACTCCTAAGCTTCAAGATACCTTTTAACCTCATGAAACCAGGGCTTTTCTGTCACCTCTTCAGTCTCAATGTCACAGCAATGTGCAGGTTCGTCCAATCTTTCAATGATAATCTGGGGAGCCTCATTGTCCCAATTGACTTTGAACATAGAAGACATCGTAGCCAGCGCGTCCGCCAACTGATTCTCCTCTCTAGGGAAGTGTTCAAAGGATATCTCCTCAAAATGGGGAAGCAAATTTAACACATACTCCTTGTAAGGAATAAGATTTGGGTGTTTCATATCCCACTCGCCTTTGATCTGACTGATCACGAGAGCGGAATCTCTGAAGGCACTCAAGAACTTAATCCTTAGGTCAATTGCTGCTCGAAGACCCATGATGCATGCTTCGTACTCCGCCATGTTGTTGGTGCAGTTGAAACATAGTCGGGTGGTAAACAGAGTATGAGAGCCTTTAGGAGATATGATCAGGGCGCCAATGCCATTACCCAAAGCATTCGAAGCTCCATCAAAGTACATAGACCATCGGGATCCTTCCTCAGGTCCTTCATCCGGTCCAGGTGTCTCGCAATCAGTTACCAACATGATATTCTCGTCCGGGAATTCAAAGTTCATAGACTGGTAATCATCCACTGCCTGATGTGCCAAATGGTCTGCCAACACACTTCCCTTGATTTCCTTTTGGGTCATATACTGGATGTCATACTCAGTCAAGATCATCTGCCATCTTGCTATTCTTCCGGCAAGAGCAGGCCTCTCGAAGATATACTTGATTGGATCCATCTTTGATATCAACAGAGTAGTGTGTCAACATATACTGTCTCAGCCGGCGAGCAGCCCATGCCAAAGCACAGCAAGTTTTCTCGAGCAGTGAGTATCGGGTCTCACAGTCGGTAAACTTTTTGCTAAGGTAATAAAAGGCATGCTCTTTTCGGCCAGACTCATCATGCTGACCCAGCACACACCCCATTGAGTTGTCGAGTACTGTCAAGTATAAGATCAGAGGTTTCCCTTCAACTTGAGGCATCAGGATAGGTGGCTCTTGGAGATACTCTTTGATCCTTTCGAAAGCGGTCTGACATTCATCGTTCCAACGTACCACTTGATCTTTCTTCAGTAACTTGAAGATTGGTTCACAAGTAGCAGTCAGGTGCGAGATGAAT